TATTTATTTATTTATTTATTTTTTGGTCTTTTTGAGACAGGATCTCCCTATAGCCCCAGCTGTCCTGGAACTCACTATGTAGACCAGGCTGGCCTTGAACTCACAGAGATCCACCTGCCTCTGCCTCCCGAGTGCTGGGATTAAAGGTGTGTGCTACCACGCCCGGCTGTAGTAATATTTTATTACATTATAATTACTACTCCATAACATTCTCCTAAGATTTCTTTGATAAGTTATAAGAACACTATATAAACTAAATATATGAAATACTGAATTTATCTAATTTACAGCAAGACTATTACCCAGGTATGGTGGTATACACCTGTGATCTCAGTGGAATTTGGGAGACGGGTATAGGAGGATCAAGAGTTCAAGGCCACCCTGGGTGAGACCCTGACTCAAGACACAATTATTTTTTTAATTTATCAAAATCTGATTAATGTTCCTTCTCAAGCTAATGACAGAAGTTCTAAAACATTTAGTATATATATCTGTGGTAAGCTGCTGTCTCAATTCATTCTTCTCTAGTAATCAAGATTTAGCTAGTCACATGGTAACCCTGTTTCAGACTTTCTCAGCTCCCCCATCTGTAGATAGGGATGGCCAATGAACTTTTTCCAATGTACTTTGGGCAAAAAGGAAGTATATATATATATCTTCCTCCTCACTTGCTTAGCTTCCCTCTTTCTCCCTTTCCTCCACTCCTCACGGAAGGCTGAGTCATCAAAGTGGTGGTGACTCTGCTTTGACAAAACTTAGAGAAACAGAAACAACAAATAAAAGGAATCTGCTCTCTGAAATACCAGGAGATATGAGAGAATCTTCCATTGTAACTAAGCATTAGATGTTGGGCTTCTTGTTATGCTATTTTAGCAAACATTAAAAAAATTCAAACAAACTCAACATAATGGCAACACAGAATATTTCGGTATTTTAAACAAGATGACTTTTTCTTTTCTTACCCTTTTTTATTAAAAAACAAAACCCAAAATAAACCCACAAAACGTTGTTGTTTGAGACAAGGTCTCATGTAGCCCTAGGTAGTTTCAAATTTGCTATGTGGCTGAGGATAATCTTCCTGCTTCTACCTTTCAGGTGCTTCAAGTGTTTGTTTTGTTTTGTTTTGTTTTGTTGAGACATGGTCTTGCCATGTTGCCTAGGTTAGCCTCAAGTGATCCTCCTGCCTCAGTCCCACAAGTAGCTAGGGCTATAGTACATACCTATCCGAAGTCCCACAGTTGGTCATGTTCTCACAGTGGAGGCTTCTTCTACTAGACACCTAAGTTCATATCTATACCTGAGTCATACCCTTACTTAATTTACCCTTATCTCTTAAATAGCTTACAACTATAGTAAATACTGAAAATATGCATAATGATTAGAAGATAACCTTCCCTTTTTTTTTTGGTCTTTTTGGGACAGGGTCTCTCTGTTGTCCCAGCTGGACTGGAACTCATACAAACTAGGCTGGCCTTGATCTCACTGAGACCCACCTGCTTCTGCCTCCTCTGAGTACTGGGACTAAAGACATGCACTACCAGTCTTTCTCTCTCTCTCTCTCTCTCTCTCTCTCTCTCTCTCTCTTTGATTACACAATTCTGGCTGTATGATGATGCAAAATGCCTTCCAGTAGAAATGGGACTTTTCTGAATTTTGGTTCTCTGGCCTAGCAGTTTCAGGTGTGAGATGCTCTGAGATGTGGCAGTGACAGCAAGTCACACTCCCAGATAGCAACCCCAGGGGAAACAGCTAGCATCCTGTGGTGCATGTGCTAAGCTATGGTGTTACATATGTGAAATATATTAAATGTGTTTCTTGAGACGGGTCTCCCTATAGCCCCTGCTGCCCTGGACCTTGCTATATAGACTAGACTGGCCTCCCTCAGTCTTACAGAGATCGCCTGCCTCTGCCTCCTGAGTGCTGAGATTAAAGGCATGCGCCACCATGCCCAGCCCAGCTTTCATTTTTAACACAAGATCTAGCACTACTAAAAGAAAATTGTTAGATTCCTTTTTTATGACACATTAAGGGAGATACAATATTAATGACTAAGCCTGCTTTCTGTTCTCAGGAGGCAAAGGCAGGAGGATTGAGGGATGAAAGTTAGTCTGAGGTATACAGCAAGATCTTCTTTCAATATAGAGAAGTAAGACTTTCTTTTTAAGAAACCTCTTATTAGGGCCAGGTGTGATGGTGCACACCTCTAATCCCAGCACTTGGGAGGCAGAGGCAAGCAGATCTCTGTGAGTTCAAGGCTAGCTTGATCTCCACAGTGAGTTCTAGGTCAGCTGCGGCTACAGAGAGATCCTGTCTCAAAAAGAGCAAAAAAAAAAAACCTCTTAAATGGTGCTAAACAGGTGTTCTAAAAAAGTCTGTAATTAAGCAGGGCGTGGTGGTGCACGTCATTAAGCTCAGCACTCGGTAGGCAGAGGCAGATGGATCTCTGTGAGTTCAAGGCCAGCCTGGTCTAATTAATGAGTTCTGGTCAGCTGGGGCTACAGGGAGACCCTATCTCAGAAGGACCAAAAAAAAAAGAATTCTGTAATTAAACATTCTGTAAATGTCGACCTGAAGTGGAGTCAACACCCATAGGTACTTGAAAGAACATTCAACTATTGGCAACTACCCTTTCCCATCAGCAAAAACTGAAATGTGAAAAAAGACTTTTTTAAAATTTTGGGTTAAGACATGAGACTCAGAAGCTTCCCCTCACAGCCACTCCCTGATTCCCAAGAGAAGAAACCCAGGGCTTCATGCACGCTAGGCAAGCGCTTTACCACTGAGCCATGTTCTTAGTAACTCTTTACCTTAAGTAATACAGTCTAATGACAGCACCCAAATTTACTATCTTTAGGAACCAAACTAGAAATAAATTTAAAGCCATAAATTTAGACGACCCATCCCACCACCTGCACTTTTCTATTCTTTCCAAGACCTTGTTCTATTAATCTTCACTTTCCGTATTTATTGTCTCATCCACCTCCTGGATCCTTCTTTTTTCAGTGTTTAGCCCAGGTACGTCTATATCTCAAAAGAAAGAAGGCAAGCAAATGAAACACTAGAGCCCACATTCCCTCTAATTATTTCACAGCTTTAGCATCTTTTTTGTTTTGTTCTTTTTGAGACAGGGTCTCCCTATAGCCCCAGATGGCCTGGAACTTGCTATGTAGACCAGGCTGGGCTCAATCTCACAGAGATCCACCTGCCTCTGCCTCAGGAATGCTGGAATCACAGACTATACCATCACACCCAGCTTTCAAGTTGAAAACGGAGCTGACCTAGTAGCGAGGAAAGACTATTCCTAGACTGTGGCGGTTCAGAGGCAAAGGCCTTGGCCTCTTTCACAGAAATAGGTTTCACTACTATGGCTTTCTTCCAAGTGGAACCCCAGCTGAACCAACAGGAATGCAAATATGGGTCTAAGTGTAGGCCAAGCATGAATATTGGTGGTTGCTTCTGAAAACTGGATACAATTTCCTGCTTTATTTCTATTCATACTGCCTCACACCAAACTTATAAGTACTTGACCAGAAATGTATAGGCTTATATACCTGATCAGTCATGCCATGACAAGCTCTTGGAGGTACATTATTTAAATGTTTTGAGACAGGATCTCACTATGCAGCCTAACATAGCCTAGAACTCACTATGAAGACCAGGCTAGTCTCAGACTCACAGAGATCTTCCTGCCTCTGCAGAGTACTGACAATAAAGTTATATACTACCACACCTGGCCAGAGGACAACTCGAGGATAACTTTTCTGCATCATGCGGATCCCTAGGGATCAAATGCAGATCCTTAGGCTTGGTGAGAGGTGTCTTTACCTGCTGAGTCATTTCACCAGCTTATCCAAGCTTATCCAAGCCATAAAATTTATATACAAGTGACCTCTGCACTGGTTTAATAAATTTTAAAAAGTTCCCTGAAGTGTTTAGACTAAAATTATAAGCACAAGTGTGAGAGCCTCAGTGTGGTTAGAGTTTAAAAGCAGAATCCTAAAGCCAAAGTGTAGTTGCAAAGACAAGTAATGGCCCTACCAAGAAGGTGCCTGTGCATACCCCCTCCTTTGTAGCACATGCAAATCCAGCCACTGCATGCAAATACCAGACTAGGACACAAGAACAATGACACATTTCAATCAACACTCACCCTCTAGATTCTCCAGAAAGGAACTGGACATGAGAGTTCACTGTGATTAGGCCATTTCTCTGTTGAACCTGATGACTGGTGTTCCAAGTGAGACATAAAGTGGTCTGTGTCAAAGAAGACAACATCACTACTGAATGGAACAAACCAGAGGGTGAACTTAATCTACTACACTGCCTGGCCTGAGGTTTTTTTTTTCCCCTAGAAGTATAATTTAATTTTTCTTTATTTGTCAATCACTGCTGTATATAATAGCTCTCCATGTTTTGTTAGACAACCTAAATACTGGAGTCTAGATAGTTTAGGTAAGGAGTGATTTTTAATTAAAAATGTAACACTTTTAGGAGGGTCACAATTATGGCTTTAAGGGGATAAATTCAGTTTTAAATACACTAATTTTTATTACAGTAGATCAGAAGCTCACTCCTCCTTTGGCCTATAAGAATTATTCTGGTCCTTTGTTGTACAACTTCAAACAAAAGAATCTAACTTTGGAAGAGAGAGAAATCTATGTATGTAGCATCTGTAAACACTAATTAACACCCTCATTTTAAGCAAACAAAAGGTAAGCCAATCTGTATTAAATGTACTCTCACTAAAGGCATTAGAAATGAAACACACTTTTAGAATCCCAGTACTCAGGAGGCAGAGACAGACAGATCTCTGTGAGATGGAGGTCAGCCTGGTCTGCATACATAGTGAGTTAGCCTGGTCTGCACACATAGTGAGTTCCAAGCCAGCTGTGGCTACAGGGAGACTCTGTTTCAACCTTTTTAAAAATTATTAACTTGAGATCAGTTGAAATTACCCTTTTTTGAGGGATCCCAATCTTCACAACTGAATTCTTCAAAACAAACCTAGAAAGTGTGGGACATATAATTCTAGGTAAATCAACATATACATTAAAAGTATAGGAGCCGGGAGTGGTGGCCCACGCCTTTAATCCCAAGCACTCGGAAGGCAGGGGCAGGCAGATCTCAGTGAGTTCGAGGCCAGCCTGGTCTACATAGCGAGAGTTCCAGGACAGCTGGGGCTACAGGGAGACCCTGTCTCAAAAATACAAAAAAAAAGTATAGGAACAAAACTAAGAGACCAACAGACACTGGAGGCCTATTGTGTGTTGGCTAACCTAGTGGTAATTTGAAATTGTGCTTCAAGGAAAATTGCACTCTAATTCCTTCCTTCTAATTCCTAGAAGCAATGCCCAAACAAACAAGCAAGCAAGCAAACAAACAAACTTGCCTTTGATGATTACAAAAGCTTCAATGAAACATTTTTAGAAAAATTAATACCAATCTTTGTGAAACGTACAAAAATTTAAAGGGGAAAGAACACTTTCTAACTCATTGTAAGTCATTATTTCGTCTCAAAATTAGACAAAGGCAATTTACTTTTTTTATTTTTTGGTCTTTTTGAGACAGGGTCTCCCTGTAGACCCAGCTGTCCTGGAACTCACTATGCAGACCAGGCTGGCCTTGAACTCACAGAGATCTGCCTAGCCTCTGCCTCCCGAGTGCTGGGATTAAGGCGTGCGCCACCACGCCTGGCATGACAAAGGCACTTTTTAAGACAGATGGGGGTAAGGCTCAGTGGTAGACAATTGCTAAAGCATGCACAAAGCCCTGGGATTGATCTCCAACACTACAAAAAAGAAAGAAAGAAAAAAAGGACCAAGTAAGAAAACTACAGAATATCCTTTAAAAACATAGATGCAAAAAATCCTTAAGCAACTACTATACAAACCAAACACAAAAACACATTGAAAGGATTATGCATTATATACCATGGCTAAGCAGATTTTTATCCAAGAATGCAAAGATGATTTTACATATGAAAATCAATCAATGTCACCTTAATAGAATGTGGGGATTAAAAAAAAACACAAGATGATCTCAAACCCAAGATGATGCAGAAAACCATTTGATAAAATCCAATGCTTTTTAAAAATAAAAACAAACCAGGAATAGAAGGAATTTCCTCATTATGTTAAAAGCCATACATGAGGGGGGCTGGAGAGATGGCTAAGAAGTTAAGAGCACTGACTGCTCTTGCAGTGGACCCGGGTTCGATTCCCAGCACCTCTATGGCAGCTACAAACTGTCCTTAACGCTAGTTCCAGGCGAATCTGAAGCCCTCTTCTAACCTCCGAGGCATTCCACAACATGGGTGTACTCACATACATGCAGGCAATACACTCATACACATAAAATATAATAAATATATTTTTTTAAAGCCATACAAGCCGGGCGTGGTGGTGCACGCCTTGAATCCCAGCACTTGGGAGGCAGAGGCAGGCTGATCTCTGTGAGTTCGAGGCTAGCCTGGTCTACATAGGGAACTCCAGGTCAGCTGGGGCTACAGGGAGACCCTGTTTCAAAAAAGACCAAAAAAATAAATAATAATAAAATAAAATAAAATAAAATAAAAAAGCCATACATGAAAAACTCACAGCTAGCATAATAATCAAAGGTGAAAGACTGAAAGCTTTCCCCACAAGAAACAAGAAAAAGATGTAAGCTGGGCATGGTGGTACCTGTCTTTAGGTCCAGCAGAGGCAAAGGCAAGTGGATCTCTGAATTCAAGACAAGCCTGGTCTACAATAGCGAGTTCCAGGCAATCAAGGGCTACATAGTGAGACCTGATCTCAAAAAAGATGTAGAACTATCGCTATTCACAATGGTATGGTCTTCTACATTTAAGATCCTAAAAGATATCCCCCCACCACCAAAACACACAAAGTTAGTGCTAAAAGCTGGCATGGTAGTACAAATCTATAAACCCAATTCTCAGTAGGTAGAGACAGAAAGAACCTGAGTTCAAAGTCAGTACTAGTCATATAGCTAGTTCAAGGCCAATCTAAGCTACAGGAGACCCTGTCTCAAAAACAAAGAAACAAACAAAAAATGCTAGTGCTAATAAACAAAGATGTAGGACATAAAACCAAATATCAAAAATTATATTTCTGCTGGGAGTGGTGGTGCAGGCCTGTAATCCCAGCACTCCGGAGGCAGAGGCAGATGGATCTCTGTGAGTTCAAGGCCAGCCTGGTCTATATAGTGAGCTCTAGGCAAGCTAAGGCTGCAGGGAGACTGTGTCTCAAAAAGACAAAAAAAAAAAAAAAAAAGAGGACAAATCTTTACCTTATATCATACACAAAACTCCAAATGGATCACAGACCTAAATTAGGAGGCTAAAACAGTTAACTTAAGTTCAACAAAATTAATACCTTCTAAGTATCAAAGGACACTATCTAGGGGCTAGAGACATAGCTCAATGGTTAAGAGCACTGACTGTCCTTCCAGAGGACCTGAGTTCAGTTCCCAATACCCACATGGTAGCTAACCACCATCTGTAATTCCAGTTCCAGGGAGTCAGACACTCTCCTCTGGCCTTTGTGTGCATTGCATACATGGATACATTTACATACATGCAGGCAAAACACTCAAATACATAAAATAAAAATAAATATGTAAAAAGGATATTATCAAGAGAGCAGAAAGACCTATGAATTGTTGGCCTGGGCAGCTTCTGAGGCCTCCCCCAAACAATACAGGTTACTGCCATTGCTGTTGGTTGCCTAGAACTTGGTAACATCCTGTTTTGATGACACCACACACTTTGATTATAAGACATATAGAAATCAAGCTGGAACTGAGCTAGAAGCTTCTTTGTTCCTGGCTAACTTTCGCAGTGCTGGAAAGTGCTAAGCAGACTGCATGGTGAGAACTGTTATCAACAGTCATACTCTGCTGGTCAACTCTACATGGTACACTACCAACCTGCCAAACATGATGTGCCATTGGTGCAACAGTGGCATGCCTGCTATAGAGGTAACCAACTGCTTTCTGACTGGATTTGACATTTGTTCCTAAGGAAGGAATTCACATTTGTTACTGTAAAACTGGTCAAGCATACTTGTGGGGAAGCTACTGCTCTTACTTTGCTAAATGAACATGGTAATATGTCCAACTGCCTTCTAAATATTATATTTATTAGTGTTACCATCCAGAGAAGCTTCTTTCTGTGATAGACAGTGGTTACTGCAGAGACTCATAACTAGTCTAAGTGCTGAGAATAAGTGACTGTTGAATGCTCAGGTCTAAGTATACTTATCACCACCTGCAAGAGGGGGATGAGGAAGCATAAGAATGCAAGAGCCAGAGGAAAGGGTGGAATGTTGTCAGATGACATGGCCACTGCACTCTGGAATTCTCAGCAGTTTTGATTCATTACACAAAACTTGCATGAGAATGGGGGAGTGGAGAGTTCTTTTGTTGCTTTCCACTATATCCACCAGGCTAGCTAGCCACACCAAGCTAGGCAGACTTGGAGCTTCCACGGATTCTCTTGTCTTCACCTCCCATCTCTCAGTAGACAAATACTACTATGCCCAGCATTTATATGGGTTCTGGAGATTTGAACTCAGATCCGTGTGTGGCAAGTACTTTGCACACTGAGCCCATGCCTGCTTTTTCTGTGGGTTCTGGGGATCAAACTCAGGTCCTCATGCTTACACAAAGAGCACTTTATTAGCTGAGTTGCTTCCCTGGTCCAAGGATCTGCCTTTTGTTCACTGAAGATCTATAATAATGCTTAGCATGTATTAGGCATTGAGAAATACTTTTTGAAGCCTGGCATGCTCATGCATGCCTTTAATCCCAGCATTCGGGAGGCAGAGGCAGGTGGATCTCTGTAAATTCAAGGCCAGCCTGGTCTACACAGTGAGTTCCAGGCCAGCTGGGGCTACAGGGAGACCCTTTCTTACCCACAAAAGCAATCTAAGAACTTTAAATTTGCAATAGAACTCATAGTACAGAAAAATAAATCAATATTACACTGTAAAAAGCATTAACAACATAAAAAAGCCAAAAAAGAAAAAAAAAAAATCATGTGCTATTACAAAAGGGGAGGGCAGGGCATGATGGGGCATGCCTTTAAACCCAGTGCCCCAGAGGCTCCCCCCTTTTTAAAATTTGGGTTGTTTTTTTAACTTTAAAAAAAAAATTTTATTTTTTTTGTGTGTATGCATGTATTGCCTGCACATGCAGGTAAGTGCACCCACATTGTACAATGCCCGAGGAGGTCAGAAGAGGTTGTTGGATCCCGA